TTTCTATTTTTTTTTTTTTTTTTTACCACCCAAAAGACAAAAAGCACAAGGAAAATCGATATTTTAACTTCAAAATGCTACTACTTTTTAAATTTTCGAAATTTCGCTGTTTCCGTGATTCATGCGATAGCCATATTTATACTAATTACGATGCATTCTCTCTGGTCTTTTAGTTTCAAATAACCAGGTGGACCGGAATCATGTCAGCCAATCGAACCCGTTTTTAAAAACATGCTTTACCCAAGACTATACAATTTCCACAACTTTCATTAATTTCGTTAAAAAAAAAAATTGTAATTACTCTTTAAGTATGAATAAATCTGTGTGCAAAAACTGCATACCAAATTGTATCATAATTTCCTTAGAAAAAAAATCTCCAAAAAGTCGATTTGTACAAGCCGGATTACCAGAATACCCCCTTAAGGACCGCGCTCAACAATGAACTCGTGGTAATTGCTGCATACAGATTCATGAATATTCACCTGCAGACCAGTGGAGAGAATATGGTTCCCATAGTTATCCCCTTGATGCGCGATGATTCAATCGATGATAATGACCACCTCAAACGCTTGAAGTTCATCAAGTGCAACATCGCAGGGAAAAGAAAGAAGACGAGAAGGGGAAAGGAGGAGAGGTCACTTTCGAGCCTGAGAAAGCACGCGTCGCGTACGCAATTAACGAACAGAGAAAAAAAGCGAATTCATACAGGGTATTCCCGCGTAGAAAGAGGTTCTTTTCATCCCGAGAGTGAACACTCGAACAGGGAACAAAACGAAACGAAACGAAACGAAACAGCTCGCGAGAACTCCTGTTAGACTTTTCTTTTTCAGTTGCTCATGTTCAAGAAGGCATCGGTTAATTGCGTAAGTACAGTTTCTCAATTTCTTCAAACGCACCTGCGCTTTGCGTACGCGGAATTAACGAGGCATTCGAGGACATACACAACTATGCATGCGCGGCGGCTGTCGTAATTGAAACCTAAACCCTTTACACACGCCGTGCACGCTGGAAAACAAAGAGACAAAATGATCGGCCACGCGAAGCCAACCGATCGTTTAATATCGAGGAGAGCTCGAATACTGCCGTATTCCTCCGTACCCTTATTACAGATACCATCGATCAAGCGGTACGGAACGGATCACGCGAATGCAAGAAATGTGTCTTCGTCCGTACAATTTTCCCCCGTAGGCGAGCGACGCCGGTTCGTTGATCTGAATCCGTACGAACGGATGTGTGATTCATACATTTCAATTATTCACGTTGGCCGGCGCAACCGTTCACGATAAGGATAAAACCAGTTCGTTTGGAAATAAAAGTTGCGGCTCCTATTCCTAGAGGCATGTTACGCGCGTGATGTAACCCTCGAGCACGTTAAACGCGCCGCGAATCGAACACGTTCTCTCCTATCTTTATTCGAACGGTATTAACTACTCGCCGCGTGCTTTGATAAAGACAGACGAGTGAGTATCATTAAAAGAGTGATTGACGTTTCGTGCGTAACGCCATCTCGTGTCTTCGGATCATTCACGTAGGAAAACGATCTGCAAAAGACGAAGGGAACGGGAGGAAGAGAAGGAGATACGTACCGGAGCGCGGTGGGCTTTTCAAAGTTGGCGCCAATCACTTTCCACGCTCGAACTTGACCTTTTTATTAACAATGGGGATCAAGACGGTATCTCTCATTGTGTACTGATGCATTGTTTCGTTTCTACACCGTACGTTACTAAAGTTATTCCGACTTGTAATCTCGTATAAATCTCCATGGCGCCGTGTGACTCGCATACTTTAATGATATAAAATATGGTTATCGCACGTAGTAATTATAGATGCACATGTGTGTGCCTGAAGCAATTAAAATACCTTTGTTTGCAATTATTTCATAAATAATTATTTTATTTTATAATTATTAATTATTGTATAAATAATTATTTTATTTTATAATTATTAATTATTTTATAAATAATTATTTTATTTTATAATTATTAATTATTGTATAAATATTTTATTTTATAATTATTAATTATTTTATAATTACAATTATTTTACAACTAAAATATTTAGTTATTTTAATTTTTTATTTCAGTATTGTACGACGACATCATATTGGTCATATTTTAAGGATTCAGTCGCGCATTCTGATTTTTGAATTTCACAATTAATCAGGTCGCAGTTTTATCCTCTACGCCGCGATACGTTTTTATAACTTAGAAATGTGCAATCATTTTCATACGCACTGTTTCATAAAAATTAACCCCCAATTTGATTTGCGTCACTATGAATCGCAGTTCCCTCTACGTTCCTTAATTGTTACGTTAATACAAACAGTACCTATCGCGAGCTAGAAACTATTTTCGCGAAAGATTCGGAAATGTGTAAAACAAAACAGGGAGACCTAAATAAGATAATAACTTGAAGCAATAAATCGCAAATGTTATAATACGTGCGCACAGTGTATCAACACTTTGAGCATCGAAGTATAGCACAGCTCGAAAAGCAATCAATCTGTTATTTTTTTATTTCTATAAGCAAGAAAATATTCGCATTCCTCCGGAGCAAAGAAAGAAAAAAGGGAAAAAAAACATTGAATACAACAACCGGTAACTTTCGCCAGTCCGATAAAAAAAAAGAAAAAAATCATCTCGACGGGGGCAATTCGATCTTTTTCGCTTCAGAAATAATCAATCAGTTCGAACGTGACCGAGAACACGATTCAGATACATTCGGAGCCGCATTCTTGCCCTTGAGATTCTACAAAACAATCTTACCTAGATTCTCCCGTTCCCCGAATCCTCCGCCTCCGGCTTCACACAGGTGCAC